ATTTACGTTAAGATCTGCAAGATCTGCAAGATCCTGCAATTTTTATTGGCTCCGAGCCTAATTTTTGTAGATCCTTAAGTGATGAAGTTGTGATTTTATTTGGATTAAGTTCTATAACTTTTTACAAATCAATTGGTAATTCAATGCGTGCATTTTCTAGAGTTTATGTAATTTAAGATAATTAGACTTTGATTATATTGATAAAAATTGTAGTATTGGATTTGAGTCTTTACACTTTCAAACATCCCTATGGAACTTTAACCCGAGTAGATATTGCACAAGCAGTGCTAGCTTTATTAAAAAAAAATATATAATATACAAAGGTCTTTATTACATTAATGAAATTATATTAGATGCAAGCTAAATTAAGGTACTTAGTAATTACTGTAGAGCTTGCATAAAGATTAGAGAAATTTTAGTATACAGTAAATAATAGTCCCAATAAAGTAAAGAATTAAATGTCATTCAAAATTTTTTAGTGCCATGATATTGACCAGTGCTTTCGACCAAGAAATTTTTATCTACTTCATCGTGTTCGAATGAATAAACGTCAACCGAACTAACTCCGGCATCTTTCGGACTAACTTCACTTCCATCCGACCTAACAGGAACTACGGTGATATCATCATTAACATCGAAAAGTGAAGTTGGTTTTACCTCGCCTGTTGTAGCGTTAACATCTTTAACATAATCATGTTTTTCCATTCGAATTCCTAATCGTTCCATACATGCTGTAATATCAACACTTCCCACCGTAAAAGTATTATTAGCAGCATGGCTATTATTAGTACTATGCCACATGGCAATTAAGCCAGCGAAATGAGGTGAAGTTACTGGTGTTTGGGCATTTGCGTCGGGTAAATCAAGAAAAACTCTAACAGAATATGTTCCAACTAATTTACCCACTTCAATAGTCAACTTTACGTAAAATCTACGCCCATAATGAGGATCTGGTTTATAGAGTTCAAGAAGATAAGCTTGTAATTTTTTTGGATCTTGACCTTTAAATTTTTCCAATTCAGGGTAAGTATAGCCAAGTTTTTCTATATCTCGAACGTCTGAAGGATTCCAAAATTCTGTGCTTGATTTTCGGAATGGTGTTAGGTCTGATTTTTCATTTGATGGAGTGTTAAGTTCTTCTGTATAAGTTCCGTTTACATCAATACTATCCGGAATCCAACTATCAGGAAATCTATAAAAAAAAAAGGAAGCATGAATTTTTTTTGTTATTTATAGTATAATTAAAGTACAGTTAAAATTAAAAAAAATAATGCCATGATGGAAAAAGAACATTGGGTCAAATCCAGCTATATCTAGATAATTCATATGACCACCTACACCACCGAATATTACGTGAAAACCATCATGTGTGGTTTCAAGCGATGCAAAATGAGCATATCCAACAAATACTGCAGGATTCGGGTGACCTGGATTTGTATCTGCCATTTCTGTATCATTTGATCCTCTTACAGCATGATTACTAAAGTGTAAGTACTTATCAATTTGAAATGTTTGATACAATCCGGGTCTAAACACCGTAGGAACATAAACTGACATATTGCCATTTAAT